CCCTCCACCCCACCCGCCGCGCCGCGCTGTCCTCGAGCTCAGCTCAGCGCTCGCGCTCCCCTCTCCTCCGGTACTTTCCCCGCGGCGGCGATGCCAGGGCCCTTGCCAGGGCTGCTCCGGGCGCTGCTCGGTCTCTGGGTTGCCCTGGGCCTGGGGCTCATCGGCCTCTCAGGTAAGAGCCCGTCCCGGCTCCGGGTGGACAGGGCGGGGGCGGAGTTCCCGACCGGAGAAGAGGCCACATGCCCCTCCCGACTCCGCCCTCGCCTCGCTCCCACGCTTCTGCCCCCACCTTGAGCCGTGGGCTTTCTTTATATCTCTCTCCTTCCAACACACACTGGAGACACAGCCTCTCGACTCCTCGCTCGCCCAGATCTCTACCATACCCCCTTCGAGATCCTGGGTTCTCCTCTGCACCCAACCTTGCATCTCGGAGACCCGGTGTCGCCGGGGACCTCCGCACGCTCTGCTAAGCACCATGGTCCACGGATTGGCATCTTACCCACTTGCGGCCCGCGAAGACCCGCTCTCTCCATCTGCCGTCACTCAGAGGCCCTGTTCCCTCACCGCCCTAGGCCTGGCAACAGAGTTCCTCGATGTTTCCGCGGTTCCTTTCTGGAGCCTAGCCCCGCGACCTCCTTTCGTGTTCTTCTCCCGGGTTTACAGTCCTCCCTCATCCTTGATTCAGCGTCATTTCTCCTTTGCCCTCCCCTCAACTTCAGTCTCCCCTTCTCTCGGTGATAACCCTGAGAACCAGTGGTTCCCCTTCCCCCACCTGGGGTCCCCTCCTCCCAGGGGTGCTTGGGTATGGCGAAGATCCCATCCTTCCTCTCACCTCCCCCCATCCCTCCCATGCTTTCCCACCACCCACCTGGCACCTTGCAGACCAGGGCCCTCCGCTGCCACGTCCCAGAGGCTCCCTATAGGTTGTGCCCTGGGAGCACGCCTCCAAACCTGAGGCCGGAGCAAGACGCTGGACTGGAGTTCTCTGTCTCCGGCCTCTGCTCCTTCCCCGGGAATGCCTGACTCGGCACAGGGGCGCTAAGATGCCAGAGAGTGGGTTCCCAGGCTGAGCCCGCATTTCTGCATTTCTCCGGGCAGCGGTCGCGCAGGAGCCTCTCTGGGCGGACCTGCAGCCCCGCGTGGCGCTCGTGGAGCGCGGGGGGTCGCTGTGGCTGAATTGCAGCACCAACTGCCCGCGGCCCGAGCGCGGTGGCCTGGAGACCTCGCTGCGCCGGAATGGGACCCAGAGGGGTTTGCGCTGGCTGGCGCGTCAGCTGGTGGACAT